CCTCTACCAAGCCAGCGCCTCTCTGGAATGTCGCCACCGCCAGCAGAAGTCCTCCCCGAAGTCTAGACTCCATCTATCAGGCTGTCAACGCGCTGGGGAAGTGGGAAAGGGTAGAGGGCTACTTCCTGACCACTCCCTCCATGCCTCCCTAGATAATGACGAGTGCGCAGACGAGGAGCCGGCGTGTGAAGGCGGCAGCTGCGTCAACACCGTGGGCTCTTATCACTGCACCTGCGAGCCCCCACTGGTGCTGGACGGCTCCCGGCGCCGCTGCGTCTCTAACGAGAGCCAGAGCCTCGGTAGCCCCGCTCCGCCCCCGGGCCCGCCCCGCCCCGCCCCTCGCTCTCCGGGCTCAGCCCCACGCCCAGGCCACGCCCCCCGCGCACGTGCTCGGCCACGCCCCCCACGCCCTATTTACTTTCGGTGTCTGACTCTGCCACCACAGCTGGGCTGGCTGGGCTGGTGTCGGGGATTTGCTCTAAAGCCAAGGTTCCGGAGGAGCCTGGCACTTGCTGGCCGTGTGTACCTGCACGTTGCTTATCGCCTCTTGGCCGCAGCTTCCTTCTGTCACCTTGGGTGGACTACCTTACAGGGTGGCTGTGAGGAATTTCATTTTCAGGACCGTTATGGGACCTGATCTTACAAAGTGCCAAAGCCGTGCTTCCTCTTATTATTTCCCTGTGTGCCTCTGTCTCCTTCCACCTCTCTGGGGTTTCTGTCTTTAGGTTTTTCTCTGAATTTCTGCCACTCTCTGGGTCTGTCTTTGTTTCTAGGGGTCTGTTCCTTTTCGTCTCTCTCTCCATCTTTACTTTCCTGTTCTTGGATTCTCTGACTCTTTCGATGTGTTTGTCTCTATCTCTTTGGGTCCTTTCTTTTTGCCCAATGACCCAAACTCTCTTCTCCTTCCACTTCCTGTGTCTACATCCCCCCTCCCCACACCCCCGCTTTCTCCTCCTATGTGACTGCCTCATGCCAGACCAAGCGCATACTCCCCTGGAGCTAGCTCAGAGGCCTTCTGGGAGTCAGATCACAGCTGAGGAGAAGCGTCTGGTGTTAGGCACTGGGTAGCTGGGCTGCTCCAGCACAGGAGATGGCCAAGAATTTGGGAGGGTCCTATCCTGCCTGTCCCACCCTGATGCATGCTGTCTCTGCCCTCAGATGACAATCTGGGAGTGTGCTGGCAGGAAGTGGGGGCTGACCTCGTGTGCAGTCGCCCTCGGCTGGATCGCCAGGCCACCTACACAGAGTGCTGCTGCCTCTATGGCGAGGCCTGGGGCATGGACTGTGCCCTCTGCCCCGCCCAGGACTCAGGTACTACGACCTGCCTGGGTCATACTCAGAGGCCAAGACATCCCATGAGACACCCACCCCCCACCCCGCCAAATCCTGGACCTTTAGACCTCAAATACCAGTTGTTCAGACACACCGTCCTGGCCCACAAACTACCTGGTCAGAGCTCACAGACCTCCGAGTCTTAATGTATTGGACACTCACTTCCAGGTGCCTAAGACCCCAACCCACAACCCCAGAGATCCCCCAAATCTTGGCTCTTGGAACTCCTGAGTCCCCCAATCTTTAGCCCATGGGAACTCAGTCCAGGCCCAAAACCCTGATCCTTGGTCCTCAGACCTCCAGGTCCCATGGCTCAGATCCCCTCCGTATGCACCCTGGCCCCTGAGCACCCCAGTAACAGTCCTGGGACTCCCCAGTTCTGGTTCCTAAAACACCCCCATCCAATTTCTCTAGGCCTCTAGTCCAATATCCCATGGGTCCTCCCTATTCCAGCACTTGGACCCTGATTCCTAGTCCCAGTACTTAGTACTCTCAATCCCAGCACCATGGAATCCCAGTCACAACCCTCAGCCCTAATCCTGCCTCCACAAACCCTATGGGGCCCTGCAATCCCAGCCCCCTCATTTGAAGTCCCTCCCATGCCTCAGCCCAAGGTCGTCCTCCTCTCCTCTCTTCTGGGCTCCTCTTTCCAGCCAGGGAACATGAATGGTGGGTTCTGAGGGCTAACCACGAGGCTTGGCTCCTATTCACAGATGACTTCGAGGCCCTGTGCAATGTGCTGCGCCCCCCTGCATATGGCCCCCCGCGGCCAGGTGGCTTTGGACTCCCTTACGAATATGGCCCTGACCTAGGTCCACCCTACCAGGGCCTTCCCTACGGGCCCGAGCTGTACCCGCCACCCGTGCTACCCTACGACCCCTACCCACCACCTCCTGGGCCTTTCGCCCGCCGAGAGGCCCCCTACGGAGCACCACCCTATGACATGCCCGACTTTGAGGACGACGGTGGCCCATATGGTGAATCTGAGGCTGCGGCACCACCCGGCCCGGGAACCCGCTGGCGCTATCGGTCCCGCGACACGCGTGGCTCCTTCCCAGAGCCTGAGGAGTCACCTGAAGGTGGAAGCTATGCTGGTGAGCACTGCGGGCGATCCAGAAACAAAGAGAAGCTGGGGTCGGGGGTTGGCTCAGAGAGATGGGAGAACACAGATACAGTAGGAGAGAGCGTCAGAGAGCAGCGATGACGAGGGACAGAAACATACCTGCAGACCAAGGAGCTGAGGACAGGAGGAAAGTGATGGGGAGCAGTGCTAGGGAAACCTGGCCCCACGGCGCCCCCCACAGCCCGCGAACAGGACTCACGGTTCAGAAGAGGATATCCGGCCAGGGACGCGCACCGCCCCCCTCCCCGTTGGGGGTTTAAGATATAGAAGGCAGAGACCCCTAACCAAGGAGCCCCGCATTCTCCGCAGGCGCGCTGTCTGGGCCCTACGAGGGACTGGAGGCGGAGGAGTGCGGGATCTTGGATGGCTGCGCCCACGGCCGCTGCGTGCGCGTCCCCGAGGGCTTCACCTGCGACTGCTTCAGTGGCTACCGCCTGGACACGACCCGCATGACCTGCGTCGGTGAGAGGCGGCCAGGGCCAGCTTGTGCGGGGCTAGGGTGGAAGCCCTGACCGGAGGTTGGGGGGGGGCGGGAGGTGTCAGGGACGTCAAGGGGTCGGGCCCGACCAGGGGAAGCAGGAAGTGCATCCCGCGCAGGGATGGGATGTGCCTGAAGAAGGCGAGGTCAGGCTTCGAGAAAAGCAGAGCTTGACCTCCGGGCCGGGGGCTGGGCTGGAAGCAGGATTGAAGAATCCTGTAGAATCCCGCAGGTGTGATTGCTAGGGAGTCCCAGTGCTACCGTGGGCAACTTGACCGCTTTGGAGAGCTCCCGTCTTATATGAATCATGTTTGCCTAGTTCAGGCAGTAGTAAAGCAAAGTGGTTACAATCAAGGACTCTGGGGGAGTCGGACAGACCTCAGGCTCAGTCCAGCAACTTGCTGTGTGACCCTGGGACAGGTCACCGTCCCTTTTTTTAGTTTTTCTCATCTGAAAAATGAGCTTAAGTTGTAGAATCCATGTCATAGAGTTGTGAACATCATTAATACTGAAATACAATGAGACTGAGGCCTATGTGTAAACCAAGGTTCAGAAAAGAGAACTGAGTCCCCCAAGGACTCACAGCCAAAAAATAGCAGGGGACTGGGCACTCTGAGAACTGGGCAGAATGTGGGCTTGTTGTGTGATACTGGGCAAGGAGCTTCCCCAGGCTGCGTCTCAGTTTGCCCATATGAAAACAGAATCACTACCTACCTCAGGGTTATTAGTTGGATAAATACACATTATGTGCTTTAAACAATGCCTGGCATCGAGTAAGCATTAATTGTTGTGATATCATTATCAGTATTATTTTCCTACCAAAATCCTAGTGACATAGGCCCTACCATACCCATCTTATAGAACACAAAGCTGAGTCTCAGAGATGTTAAGCCACTTGCCCATGCTCACACAGCCGGCAGGTGGTAGTGATTGGATTCAACTTCAAGCAGGAGGCTCAGCACCCCTTGAACCCCTGGACCCCCAGGGGCCAGATAAGCCGGCTCCAGGGTCCCCGGCCCTGAGCAGAGATCCTTGTATCTCCTTCTGCAGACATCAACGAGTGTGACGAGGCCGAGGCGGCCTCCCCGCTCTGCGTCAACGCACGCTGCGTCAACACCGATGGCTCCTTCCGCTGCATCTGCCGCCCAGGGTTCGCGCCCACGCACCAGCCGCACCACTGCGCGCCCGCCCGGCCGCGGGCCTGAGCCCCGGAGGTCCCAGGCTGTTTGCTCCGCGCCTGCGCACGCGGCTCCCTGCCGCGCACTCTCCCGCCCGCTTGCGCGCATGAGCACGGGGAGCCCGAGTGGTCGGAGAGGAAGGACGCACGAACCAATGGGAGGAGGGATGCCCTTCGCTGCTCCTGCCACCCTCAGCAACTCCTACCGACGCTGCGGGGGCCCGGGACTAGCCCACGGCGCCCTTCACGTTCCCTCTACTTTTTATGAAAAGTTTCAATTAAAAAAACACCTATTTTGTACCTTCTGCCTCTGCCAGTCTATGTTTCCGAAAGTCTGGCTCCAGAGTTTGTTCTCTGAGCCACTAAATTACATCCTCTTCCCATCCTGGACTCCGTGTCTGGCTCTTAATTTCCGTGCCTCTGTCGCTTAGTCTTTCTCCTATGTCCGTTTCTCTCTTTATCTCTGTTTCCTATCGCTTGTCTATTTCATTTTCTCTGCCCGATGCTCTATGACGCGGGGACCTAGTCTCTGTTTCTCTTTCTCTTTTCCTACCTCTCTGTTTTGTTATCTCTCTAATCTCGAGAGAGATCTTTTCCCCATGTGGGACCCCGGAAGGGGATGGGAAGGGTGGCCTCAGACGCTGCTCAGGGCGCTGCCTCTTTCCTCAGCTAGAGGGGACCCCAGATTTCCATACTGCCCAAAGAATTAAAAAGCTGTTCTGGGACAAATGGGACTTGGGAGACATGGGGGGCAGGAGTCCCTGGAGGGATGAACAGAGACCTGGGCCTCCAGCTAAGTTTGTGCTGTGGCAGGACAGGGAGTGGCAGTCCTGGTGGGTGGCCTGTGCAGGCCCATATGGGAGTGAGAATGAGCTGTGTGTGTGTGTGATGGTCAAGTGTCCCGTAAAGACCAGACCGCCCTACCCTAGTGGCCCCTGCCTATTTCCTGATCATAGTGGGGGGGGGGGGGGCTGTGGGGGCAGGGGAGTGTCCAAAATCCTCCTCCCCCCAAAAAAGAACAAAAACGGCCTGGAGAGGCACAAGCTCAGGGTACGGGGAAAGGTTGGGAGTGGATGGGAGTGGAAGGACTCTTTGGCACTGAAACAAAACAAAACAAAAGCCTGTATCTGAGTCATTCTTCACCCACCTATTAGTGTTACAGTCTCAAAGTCAAATGCTTCAGGCAAATGATGTTAGGGGAGCAGGTGCAGGATAAGAAAACCAAAGTACAAAGGTGAGGATACATAATCAGGGATATTCTGTTTAAGGGCCGGGATGGGTGGGTGGAAGAGAGAAGGAAACTTCCCTGTTTTAAATAATATATTTTTGAAAACCACCCTGTGGCTCTTATCTAGCCCACGAGCCACCAGCTGTACCACACCAAGTGCATTTCAAGCAGTGTAAATGGGGTACAGGGGCTCCTTCTTGACCTGAACCCCTGCTCACGTCTGGAGCTTCAGGAAGGGTCAGATTCCCAAGAGCCCCTGGTGCCACACGGAGGATCATACTAATAGTGCCTACTCTTCAGGCGTGTTGGTGGCAGGTAAATGAATCGTTCTGTATGTCAAGCACTTAGAACGGCACCTGGCACGTAGCAAATCCTCCATGATATTAGCATAACCATGGGCCTCTGGGTTAAATGCTGAGCCCTGTGGCTGGTCAGATGGCAAGGTCAGATGGCCAGATCTCGTTCTTTACCTGATCTCCCTCCCAGGGTGAGGGAGGAAGGCAGACTATATCCCCTTCAACAGGACAGTGAGAAATACCTAGCGGAGCACCTGATGGGAGGGGTTTCAGGCTAGAAGGGGCTCAAAGCTCCACCAAAGGGGTGATGGCTGCACAAGACTGTACTAAAACCACTTTAATGGGTGAGTTGTATGGTACATGAATTATAACTCAATAAAGTCATCAAAAAGGGGGAAAAAAACTCTACAAAAGAGGTCTAGAAGTGACACTCCAGCTGATACTGGAGGTAACCCTGCCCAAACACTTACCTTTCATTCATTCAGTCACTCAACAAATATTTTCTATATAATATCTGCTTTGTAGTAAATTGGGGACACAAGCAAACTTTAACCCGGCCTTAGAGGGTGGGAACTAGCAAGGGTTCCTGGAGGAGGAGAGATGTCCCAGTGATGTGAGATGAACCAGATAAAGCAGTGGAGGGGGTGTTCCAGGTGGAAGGAACAACATCTGCAAAGGTCTAGAGTTAAGGAAGGCAGATATCTTTTTTTTTTTTTAATTTTTTTTTCAACGTTTATTTATTTTGGGGACAGAGAGAGACAGAGCATGAACGGGGGAGGGGCAGAGAGAGAGGGAGACACAGAATCGGAAACAGGCTCCAGGCTCTGAGCCATCAGCCCAGAGCCCGACGCGGGGCTCGAACTCACGGACC